GTCCTGGCAGCTAGGCCGTGAAGCTAGGACTGGTCCTGGCAGCTAGGTCATGATGCAGAGAGGGCGCAAGCAGATTGATGGTACGAACTGGGCTTTGGGAAGTCAACCAGCACAGCCCAGGAGGGCAAAGCCATCCAACAGACCACATGCAAATTCAGTTCCCTGGGTCATAACCCTGGCTCTAGCAGAGCCGTGTGACCTTAGGCAGGAGAGTCACCTTCCTAGACTGAGATTTCTAGGTAGTCCGATGACCCATATAGCAGGCTTGGCATGGCAATCTGACACGTGATCACTTATGACAGCAGGTAAATTAAGCAGCCAGTCAATATTGGCTCGCACTACAAATATATTTTCTACTGCTGGTGCTAATTTGGTGTGATTGTGGGGTGCGTTAGTGCTGCCTGTTCGTGATGGCTAACCTTTATCGTGTGCGTGTTCGTATCAGCAGCATTTCCCCCACTCTGGGGCTGGGAAAGCCACAGAGCACAGATTAAATCAGAACAGTGCTGTGGATCAAAAGCCGTTACTGGGTCCTAATATCAATTTAAAGAGTTATAATCAGCCTTCTTTTAAAAATTAAAGATTGATGGGCTAGAGAGATGGCTCTATAGTTAAAAAGTGTTTGCTCCTTTTTCAGAGGACCCCTGTCAGGTAGCTCACAACCAGCTGTAACTCTAACCCTGGGGAAATGAGACACCCTTTCCTGGCTTCCACAAGCAAGTAAGTGCGCTCGCACAGACAAATACACACACACACACACACACACACACACACACACACACACATCTTTAAAAAAACTATTAGATTAACCTGGGAACTATGAGCAAGCATTAGCTTCCATGAAGTAACTTTTATAGATTTTCTGCTTCCATATTCCATAAATATATTCACTTACCAATGTATGTATGGGATGCATTGCAAGTTGGTTTCTCAGCTGAGAATTGCAGTCAGGGGATTCTAAAGACCCCAGGAGAGAAAGTGTGAATGATCTCTGGTCTTCCCTGTGGTCTTGCTTCTCACACCCTGAGAACTTGGTCTTGGCAGTGATTGTTGGGAGGCTGAGCATCAAGACAGCAGAACTCAAGGGCTGGAGAGATGACAGAATATGCTTCTGGAATCTCCATGTGGGGATCCAATGCCATCTCCTGGCTTCTGCAGGTACCAGACACACCCTCGGTACACATACATACCCTGGCTCTATATACACATGCATACATACATACATGCATACATTCAGGGAAAGCATTCATGCACACAAAATAAAAATAAGTAAATATTTTTTTCAAAGATGACAGAATTTAGAGTCTAGATTTGGCTCTTCATCATATGAATTAATTCTTGTGTGTCTTAGGTCAAACCACTGCCCGATTATCAAGCACATTTTGAGAATCAAGACCCCAAGAAATTCACTTTGTATTGACTGCATCTAGGCACAACTTTGGTCTCTGTAGTAATTACCAACTTCGCTTCTGTTGACTCATGACATGTGCCTAGGTGGGAAGCTGAATGGTTCAGGATCCATGAAAATAGTCACATGTATGCTTCATGGTTTCTATGCAGCACCAATAAAATCACAAATGTTTATGCTCTGAACAGCGAAGGAAAATATGTCAGGAAAAGTCTAGAGTAAGCACTTGGGATCCGTAATCCCTCCAAAGACACCAAGTGCTAACTCCAGACCATCTTCTTGCAAAGTGATTGTGGCGTCCAGCTTAGGGTATAGGGCTGGTCTTAGTGGGTCTAGAGGGTTCATTAAGAGGGTGGACAGTCTCTCACTGGAGTAGAGCTAGGAGCTACCCTGGAGAGAGTCTTTGAGGAAAGAAGGAAGGAAGGAAGGAGGGAGGGAAGAAGGGAGGGAGGGAGGGAGAGAGGGAAGGAAGGAAGGAAGGTCTGAAGATCTGATGCAGGTGCCTATGACCACAAGCCAGCCCGCTAGTCCTCCAACCAAATCAGGCTTTGTTTGTTCTACAACATGTTGCAAAATAAAAATTAAAAAGATTATATCTTTAAATTACGTATTTCAATTCAAAATACAAATTCCCAGATCGTCTTAAACTTTCAGAAGATATCACCCCCCGCCCCCCCCCGCCAAAACACCAGTGGCATTATTGGCAGGCACTAAATGCCACTTTGGCTGGCAGAGTCTCGTCCAGCACTGAGCCCCCGGTTGTGTTCCGTATATCACAGAGCTCCTGCTCTGCCAATTTTTTCTAGCCAAACAGTGAAGAAGGAAATGTTTTGCACATCCATGTTGTTGTGACGAGTGCAACAGAACTGAGGAGGTTGTAGGCTTCCAGAAAGGCACATCGTCTGGTCGATCATTTGAATGAAACATCGATTTCCTCCTGTACTGAACTCCTGGCCCGTTCAGGGGTGGGGAGAGCTTGTGTCTGTGCCCCAGACTAAAGAAAGACTCTGGAAGGAGAAATGAAGATGCCATTCATCTAAAAGCTCTCAGGCCTTCAGATTGGAGCAATAAAGCCGCTGCCATTCTGACCTGGGTGAGCAGAATCTCAGCGTAGTGTTAATGTGTAGCACAGAATGTAGGCCAGTCGTTGAAAAAAAAAACAAAACATGGATAGCAACAAATACTGGTGAGGATATGGACAGGCGAAAGCCCCAGTACACTCCTGGTGTGGAAATCAAGCAGCCACAGTTTCAATCAGTGTGAAGATTGCTACTGGAGACAGTAATGTTGTCTGCAGACCTACAGTGACTTAATGAGGTAGCTGAAGAAATAAGTCCCAGCCTGGCTCTCGTCCATCATTTCTCAGATACTCCCAAGAGCCCCTAAGTTCGGGGTCAGGTCCTCTCTCAGATGAGAAATAGCAGGGATGAGGCTTCTGCCTCCAACCACCACTGGGCGCCAGCATCCTCTGGTCTTTGTAGCCCCATTGATCTCCATCCCTAGAGGAAAGCATGGGGGTATCCTCAGGTAGGTAGGCCTAGCAACAGAAAGAGAAAGGGTTGTCCGTGAGAGGTGCCCTATGCTGCTGGCTGCAGGTTAGCGATGGTGCCTGCCCACACCTCAGCAGCCTGGTCCTTGACTCGCTTTGCTCCAGGTGTACTTCCGGTCCAGGGAAGACAATGGCATTGCCTCTCCCAACCCAAATCTGAGGCTCAGCATTGCTTTGCTTTTCCCCACTGCAGACCGCTCGGCCCTGAGTGCGGCAAGGGCCCAATTCGTGGATGTGGAAGAGCGTGGGCCGGAGGCCATGGACGTGAAGGAGAGGAAGCCCTACCGCTCGCTGACCCGGCGCCGCGATGCTGAGCGCCGCTACACCAGCTCCTCCGCAGACAGCGAAGAGGGCAAGGCCCCACAGAAGTCCTACAGCTCCAGTGAGACCCTGAAGGCCTATGACCAAGATGCCCGCCTAGCCTACGGCAGCCGCGTCAAGGACATGGTACCGCAAGAGGCTGAGGAGTTCTGCCGCACAGGTGAGTGCACACTGTAGTGCTGTAGTGTGGACTGACCCCGAAAGGATACAGGTGTGTGCCTGGATGAAAATGCAGGCAAGCTGGACTCTAGCTTGGACTCTAAACTCTCCTCTAGGAGGAGGTGACTCTAGAGAAATCCAAGTTCCTGCTGTTTGGGGCCCTGGATCTGCTGAGGGTCTGCCCTACAGTTCATTGATGGGACGGACAAGTTTTCTGGGTCAGCTGCCTCACTCAGAGAGCTGGCTGGAGGCTGGGCTCCGGTGCCAGCCTGGAATCAAGCTCTTCTGCTACCCTGGTCCTTGTGCTAGCTGACCTTGTGCAGTCTCCCTGCTGCGGTGCATGGTGAGAGGGACAGGGGGGTGGACACCTTTAAGTTGTAAGCAGTGATAACAGAGGCAAGTGATAATAAACACCAGTGCTTAGTTTGGAGGTTTATCCGTTCAAGGAGCGTATCTTAGCACCTTCCCAGTGTGAGCTGCCTGCGTGCCCTTGAGAGAGCGCTGCTCCTGGGATGGTTAGACTGGACCACTTAGCAAATTGGGAGATATCCTGCTGTTAGACTCTCCTCCACCCTTCTTCCTTTCAGTCCTCAGCCAAGTCTAGTCACCCTTTCCCAGAATACATCTCAGTCAACCCCCTTGTCTGCTTTCCCTCTGCCACTGCCCAGTCCTGGACATGGTTATATGTCCTGGAAGACTGACCTCGATGACCGTCCAACCCAGAGCTGCCCATCCAGGCATAAGCCACAGTGAAGCCTGAGAGTGACTCCCAATGCTAGGAGACCTTCCTCAGTTTCCTCCTCGGCTCCCTAGAATTTTTTGTCTCCGGCCTCTCCACCCCACCCACGGCCTAGTCCATCTGAACGGTAGCAGCATCCTGCAACCGTGATTGCTTCCTACTGTAGTGTCTCAAAGGAGCCTGTTGTTCTGCTCCAGGCCTCTGTGAATCCCGGTAGGTGACCCTGTTCCCTCACGATGATGGCAGTCTGTGGGGATTCTACCCTGTGCTCCTCCGCTCCACAGACGGCATCAGCCGCGCATGATTTAGACATATGCTATGTAATTTAGACATGTTTTAGCAACGCTATTTAATCCTCACAGTGACCCCAGATTGAATCATGTATCAAACAAGAAAGGGGAGCATACAGGCATACACACACACACACATACACACACACACACACACACACACACACACACACATCTATGGCCTCATTTCCACTGCCTCCCACAGGCATGGATCCACATGAAAGCTGCCCCACTAGCAAGGCTGCCTCCCAGGCTTGAGAACTGTCGGCTCCACAGCTCTTCCCTGGCTCATGATCAAGAGCTTATGCCCGGGCATCTGACAGATCTGGATGTGAATTCTGGCTCTGCATTGGTTACAGCCTTCAGCATCCTCACCTGTGCAGAGGGATAATGGCACCTGATGGTAGGGTGCTCGTGAGGATTAGTGAGGACCGTAAACAGTATCCTTGCCACCAGAGCCTTGCATGGAACTGATGCTTTCTATTGTCACCTCGGAGCCTCATTGGAGGCCAACAGACAAAATGCCTCCAAGCTTTTCTCTAGCCCTACCTAGCCCGTGCTCAACAGAACTAAGTGAGCCCGTGGCTCAGATGCAGGCCTAGTGCAGCAGGCCCAGGAAAGGAGTCCCTCTGGTCCTTGGGAAGAACATCGAGGCATTCTCAAGCATGTGCCGTGCCATTTGCTAACGGCCATCCGGGATCTTAAAAGATCTCTTGAAGGACCAAGGCATGGGTTATCCCCCAACTGAAGGAAGCTCAGGTGACCTCCAGCCCAGAGTGTGTAGTTAGACTCTGAGAGAGGTTAGGATGGCCACCCATAGTCTGGGCTCCTCAAGAAAGAGGTCAAAGGTCACAAAAGAGATCACATGGTGAAATGACTCTCCCACCTCACGGAGGACCCAGTTGGCTCAGCGGGATCCCTAACTCTCCGAGTTGGCCCTTACCTTGCAACCCTTCTCTATCCGGATGCCATAGCTCATCGGTATAAACGCCAAATCTGTTGGCTTAAAAGGGAACGGAGGGCAAGCCCTACGGAAATCAATGCGGCTTAGGCTGTTTACGGCAAATAAATTTGAGTTTTCACTAAGCAGAGCAGCCATTCTTTAGGAGTGGCCTCTCTTGAGAGGGTTAACCCAGCGAGCGCGGCTATGGCTGGGTGGAGAGCAGCCAGGACTCAGGATCTACAGAGACCCGCGAAGGACCTGGGGACTGGGCACCAGTGTGCGCGTCATCACGTGTTCTTAGAAGGAGAAAAGCGGGTGAGAGAGGAGTGCAGTATGACACACAGGGGTGAGGTTCAACGTATGTAACCTTTGCTCAGGCCAATACCCCAGCGGATCCGAACATTTGACTGGCCGCTGAGCAGAACCCGGAGGTCCCTGAGGTCCAGGGCCTGCTGACATGAAATTAATTGTCTGGCATCTGGATCTAGGGGATAATGGATAGGGTGGAAGAGAAGTGGCTAAAACAGCCAGGGCAGAGTAAAGGGGGGAACTGGCGGCTCCAGATACTGACGCATTGTTTACCCACTAGCATGGAAGGGTTTTACGACTTTGCCCTCAAATCACAGCTGTGCCAGCCTCTGAACTCTTTCCCATTCCAAGTTCCTCTGGCCTGGCCAGGAAAGAACCCCTAGTTCCAGAGATGTATGTAGGGCTCATCCAAGAAGTTTCTGCCCCAGTCTGGACCTACTGGCAAGTTCTATTTGAGAGGGGAGACAGAAAACTTCGATGACATTTAACGGACATGTTAAACTGAGTGCCTTCACTCTACTGGGTTTGTCTGGAGACACATAAATTTAGAAATAAACAAGACATATAGCATCTGCCTGTGTAGAAGACACCTTCAGCAAAAGTGGCAAACAACGGCACCATCTAACAGCACCGAGGCAGGGCATCTCCCAGAGGGAACTGGAAGAAAGAGGCAGCGAACTCTGCACACATGTAGGTAGATAATGCGGAGTTTCCACGGAGGAAGGCAGCTTGAATCAGCTTTGATGCACAGCACTTGGCAGGGAAAGGAGGGGCAGAAGGAGCCCTGAATGCCGAGGAGGTGGCTGGGGCTGGCTGTACAGTGAGTTTGGAGTACAGCAGGAAACCCAGCCATAAGGGGCTTCTGGTGTGGAAAACTCTCCCAGCCCCTTCACCATAATTACCTTGTCTCCCCTCAGGCACCAACTTCACCCTGCGTGAGCTGGGGCTCGGGGAGATGACGCCCCCACATGGGACCCTCTACCGGACAGACATCGGCCTCCCACACTGCGGCTATTCCATGGGGGCTGGCTCCGAGGCGGACCTGGAAGCCGACACTGTGCTGTCCCCTGAACACCCCGTGCGCCTGTGGGGTCGGAGCACACGGTCAGGGCGCAGCTCCTGCCTGTCCAGCCGGGCCAACTCCAACCTCACGCTCACAGACACGGAGCACGAGAACACAGAGACCGGTGAGTGCCTCACCTGGCCTGTCGGTTACGGGAATGACCAGACTCTGGTTTGCGTTATAGTATTGATTTCTTGCTCTCTCCCTGGGGCTCTGGGGAAGCTGATGAAAAATGGCTTTGCCTTCAGTGGACAAGAGTCAGAGCCTTCTGTAATGTCGCATGAAAGGCCCACCCATCAGTGATGTGTCAGAGTCGGCTCGCTGCACTTTGAGTCCAGACTAGGGCCAGGCTAAAGCACTGGGTTATTACTCACAAGGTAAGGGAGCAGAGGGATGTGGGTGTCAGTAACCCATTCCCTGGAGAGCTGGATCCCTGTGAACTATACAGCACCCAGCTCTGCTCCCACACTCTCTGGCAGCCATTTGCCCCTCCCCCACCAGTTCTAGGCAATCTCCAGGGCCACCACTTTTTGTTGCTCAGAAGAAGGGTCTATAGACTAAGACTGCCATGTGGGAGCAACTCGACCTTTGGAGTGTTGAGGAGATAGAGGTCAAAGGCTCCAAAGTTTCTGGTAGAAGAAATAAGTTTATATGAATGTGTGAAATTGCCTAGTAACCCAAAAGCTTGGAGTCAGGAAATCATAGTTTTCTCAAACTGGGTCTATTCGTAGACATTCCTAGATGAAGAAATTTCAACTCCCCAGATCTGAAATCTAGAAATTTCCTATTCCAACACGATGTTCAGAATTTGAGACTTCGGAGTTTCTGCTTTTTACCATGAAGGGTCTTCAACCTACGATGACATGTATTTCAAACTCACTAAAGGTATAGGTTTCCAAGGTCCTCTCCTCCCTCAGAATGTAAGGTGATGGACTCGCAGTTTGCCAGATTTAATCATTCCACGGCAAGTGCGTACATCTATCGAAACATAGCACGATAACCCGTCAATGTATGCAGTAGCTGTTCGTCAGTCAAGAAGAGTTGAGAAAGTAAAAATAAGTTTTGAGGTGGAAGGGAGGCATTGCTCCATGTCTGCCTGTCATGAGACGCTGACTCCAGGCTGTGTTCCTCTGCAGCACCATCCTCCGAGGCTCCGGGGTGCTACGGTTTTAGGAAAAGGACCAGTAGTTCACACGTGTTTTTGTTTTTTGTTTTTTTTTTTTTTTTATCAGAAGTGTGGGGGCCCAGCTTCAGAATCTTTCTCTCCCCTCAGATCTTGTTGGTGGGGCCCTGAGGGACTCGGAGTCTACCTTGGTCACTGTCAGAGCCTAGAACAGCCCATCTGGCGAGGCTTTTGGTTCTGAGAAGTTGGGTCAGGGGTCTGGGCTCTTACTTTTGCTCCTATAACAGGCACAATGCAACATGGGATGCTGTAATAAAACGAACGAATGAGAAAAGTCAGCCAGATGCCAGTGCCCCCTACTGGCTGCCAGCTCTAAATGCAAGAACCCAGATTCCCAGCCAGCATCTGGGTCAGGATGAGGGCTTAGCCCATTTAGACAAGAGAGCTCCAGCTGAGCTGCGGAAGATCAAAGCCCAGATTAGAGATCAAGCAGCTGACCATGAAAGCCAGAACCAGGTAGAGGATTTTATCCCCCTTAAAGAGCCAGCTGCAGCAGGATTCCAGATGTCTCTTCTGCCATCTGGGCCAGTGGCATCCTTCCTAGGAGTGGGGGAGGAGAAGCAGGGGAGGGTCCCGCGACCTCAGCCCCTGTGGATCTTCCCTCCCACTGTGGATAGCTTGTACCGTTTATCTCCCACAAAGGCCCAGGCTGAGCTGGCAGCCCTGTCACGCCCTATCCCGTGGAAGCACAGCACATATTTAAACAGCGATCAGAGAAAACAAGGTCTGGTTGGGGGAACAGGAAGTCTTCCCTCGCTGGCCTGGTGTCGGTGGAGCTGCGTCCCCTCTCTCGTCCCCTCTCGTCCTCACATTCCTCATTTCCAGTTTAATGAAGTCAGCATCTCTCATTTTCTATGCTCTTAAATTAGGAGAGGGGGCGCGTTTTGTGATCGTGAGGAAACAGTAGATCCTCTTGTGCAGGACTTCTCTGAGCCTTTAAAATATTAACATAGATGCTGTTGGCTAAATGACCAGCATTTGTAGGTCGCCCACGTCATAGCCTTCAACCGCAGAACCTTTCATTTCCAGCTCATCTGGGAGGGGACGGTGTTCTGATAGCTGACTTTTATACCAGCTGGGCTGAATGACATCCAGGACTTGTAGACATGGGATTCTGACTGTCTGACGGCGGCATGCTGAAGACAAAGGAACACGGGCCTGAAAGGAATAGGGGCCCAGAGAGTTAATCACCGCACCTGATTACCAACACCTGAGCAGGGCTGGTTGCGTACTCCAGCCACGGGAGCTCACTGAGGGCCGCTTCAACTCTTGGAAGTCATTCTCTTTACAAGCACTGCACAGAAACAAGGAAGTGTGGCCGCAGAGGCCAAGAAGTCCGTCTGTCCGGCTCACATGCTGGCTAGATGGAATTAGAACTCGGGCCTTTTTTTTTTTTAACCGATCTAAACTCGTAACTTCATCAGCTTTAGTTATCCTGTTGAATTCTCTGAGTAGAAAAATGCTGTGGTTGGGGGTTCTTTTGAAGGCTTCTTGCTATGGCGATAGAGGATCATTTTCTGTAAAGTCACGACAGCGTAAGACACACACCGCCCACTTTATTGTATCTCCACGAGAGCTGAATTAAGCCTCTGTGGGGGGGATAATGACATGCACGATGAGCCAGCAGACAGTGGGGCCAGGAGGTTGGTGGCTGGTTCCCCAGCGTAGGCATAGCTCCCTTCCCCTACTTCCATCTCCACTCAGATCACAGATCATACAACTCTAAGGCAACTGTTCAGAAGAAACAGAGGAGCGGGAGGGGAGTCCGACAGAGGACCCTGATTTCTGTATCCCTTTCAGGCATGGCTTCCCAGAGCAGGCACCCACAGGCTTCCATCCTCTAGAAGCCTGACTCCCTGGCAAGTTGTGCTAAGGGCTGTTTTATTCCCTGATCCGAATCCCAATACTGATCATCAGAATGCCTTGCTGTGATTCATTGAATAGGTCTGTATTACTCTTGCTCAACTGGGGAAACTGAGGCTCAGAGAGGTAAAGAGCGCCATGCTGTCTGCCTGGCTGAACTGAGACATGCCCCATCAAGCGTGTCTGCTCTTCCCAGACTCCCCTCTTCCCCTTGCCCTTCCCATGGGACCTCCCACCATCCGGTCCTCGGCTCCTCCACCGCCCACCCCTCTAGACCTGGCTCTCTCCGTTTCCTCTGAGGATCTCATCAGAGGAGGAGGGATCGATGCACTGGGTGTGTTATTCATCCCAGTGAGGCCACCGCTCAGGAATAAAGGAAATCCCAGTGCACGCGTGGAATGGCCTCTAACTGTCACGACACTGCAATGTCATTCCCACCTGCCAGATGGGACAACAAACCCTCCAAAAGCAAAAGCCAGCTAACACAGCAGTCACCATCAGCACACTGGCAAAGCTTTATTTGGACTGCGGGTCTCTCTGATCCCTCGCTTGCATCCCTCTGAGTCATAAGGAGGCCAGGGTCTCTCATTTAAGAACATTGGTAGTGTGCATCCAAGCTTCCTGATAGAGGTAAAGGGCAGAGCATAACCCCCTGTGACCTCCAGTCACAGAAGCGTGCACTCCACTTCCACACCTGGCCATGCGTCAGTCAATACTAATGGTCAACAGTATTGACAGCGGTGGGAGCTTCTGATGAGGTCACGGGGCTGCTGTGTGCAGCTGTCCTCAGTAATAACCTTTATAGGGTCCATTAAGGCCAATTTCTGTCCCTGAAAGTTAATGTCAGCAGCTTTTATGTCATTGCTTAACATTCGAAATAAATACGAAATTGACCAGGTGATAGAGACACAAGCCCGTCCTCCTCACAACCATCAGCCAGAGAAATCCTTCAGGTCCCTCCTCCTGGTGCGGTCCAGGAAGCCACAGGCAGTAAGGAGACTCTAGTATGACAGACGCCCAATAGGCATCCGATAAATGTTTTTCAGAAGGTCGAGGGCGTGATCGGGGCTCCATCCCCAGCACTGAGGCAGGATGCCAAAAGTCTCTCTGTGGATTCACGTGGAATGTGTGGTTGCTGAGTATCTCCGGCATGGCGGGCTTTCTTCTAGAAGGTGGGACACAGAGCAGTAGTGGGTGGGGTGGGAAGTTAGTCCCCTGTGGTCCTGTATGACAGCAGAGGCGTCCAGCATGGGAAAGAACTGACTGTCCCCGAGGAGACAGGACCTCGCGGTGCGGTGCATTGCACCAAGTCCCAGCTTGCGAGACCTTGAACAAGTTGATTCACCTCTCCGAGCCACGGAGCCTGGATTTTAAGAGCAACACATTGGTGGTCGTCAGAGACAGGGAAGGAGCTCCTAAGGGTGATTGTTACGGGCTACAGTGTTCCAGTTTGGAGGGTGAGGCAGTTCTGGAGATAAATCAAGTGAGAGCTGTGCCACTTATACACTTTAAAAGCCCCGCTATTAGGTTTAATCATCATAGTTAAAAACTATAAAATCTCGGGGCTGGGGAGATAGCTCAGTCAGTAAAATGCTCCCTGCATAAGAATGAGAACCTGACTTCCATCCTCAGAAGCAGCATTTAAAAAGAATAGAAGGCCAGGAGTTATGGTTACCTTGTGATCCTGATGCTGGGATCATGGAGACAGGTGGGTCCTGAGTCTCACTGGCTAGCCAGTATAATCTAATTGACAAGCTCCAGGCCTATATTTAATAATAATAATAACAACAACAACAACAATAATTAGGTAGACAGTGCCTGAGAACCATACCTACTGTTGACCTCTGGCCTCCACATGGGCACACATACCCCTAGATTCATCTGGACCTACACAAATAGGCATGTACAAGCGCACAAACAAATAAAAATAAGGAAACTTATAAAAATCCATGCCATCTTTGAGGCGTTGCCAGCCTATATACCACCTGAGAAGTCCCTGTTCTCTGAGTCCTGGGTCCTGACATCTGATGGTGGTATTTGCTTAAGGGTTCAGAGGAAGGAGCCACCCCTTCCCCCTGAGTGTACGAAGGACAAAGTCCTCCTCCCCACTCGTGTTTATGCCTGGGTCTCAGGGCCTGCTAAGAGCTGACTGTGCTCTAGAGAGATGTACCCAGGAGAGACCACTGCAGGACCCAACCAGGAGGCACGAAGAATGCTTGGGTGGCCTCTGCTTTCATCCCAGGAGCCAACTTAAAAATTCACTTAGAAAAGAAAATGAAGGAAAAGTCGGCTTTCCCCTCCCCTATGATTCCATAGACCGACATCAAAGGGGAAAGTGTGGGTTAAGCTAATGAGGTATCAAGTCCACTGAGCAGCCATCTCCAGGGCATGTGGAGAGAGAGAGAGCTCCTTCCCAACTCTGCTGGGCTTGCTCCCTACACCCCCACCTCTGGCTCGAGACCCTTGAGAGTCATTCCTGCCAAGATCTAGATGAAAACTGGCCAGTAGGTTTGAAATGTTCCGAGTGCTGCCTCTCAACCTCCTGTCCAAAGAGACAGCATCTTCCAGGACAGGGAGTGGAGCCAGACAGCTGGGCTAAAGACTGAACATCCCCGCTGAGTGCCCCCCTGCTTCAGGAGCCAGCCCACACTCCCTCCTGAACAGACCCGAGTTTGTCTCCCATGGGACAGTTAGCCATGTGACTCCCGAGCACACCAGGATCCCCCCCAAGTTCTAAAGAGGACTGGAAAGGACCTGGCATGAGCCAGAGAATTTAGGAATAGTGAGTTAGAAGAGACTCCCCCCCCCCCATTTTTTAGACAAGCACACTGATTTGGAGATCAGTGGCATGTTGAAGGGGACAGAGTCAAGACTTAAACCCAGCCATGTCCCATTCCACAATCACTGTGTTGCTTGATCACTCCACATGTGTGCTGTTTCGTGTGCCCCACGTTTCTGAGAAAGAATTCTGGTCTTGTCTACAGCATAAATCTCCTTGTGTGTGTTAGAAGCATAGCCTCTCCATTATGAGGAGGATATAAAAATCACCCAGGGCCACTTTCAAACTGTGTCAAGCTAGAGAAAAGTTGAAAAGTCCAGTCAGAAAGCATCCAGAAAGACTCCATGAAAGGGGTGCCAGACCACAGCTCTGAGGATGGGGAGGGATTAAGCGGGTAAAGAAATGGAAGGAAGGGCTTTCTGTGCAGACAGACAGCAGTGGTGTCCCCAGAGGCTGGTCCAAGTAGACATGTGTGAGCATGTTTTGAGGGGATCTGGGGGTGGAGTC